TCACAGGTTATAAGTCAAGGACTATCTGTATATGAGCAAACTATTTCTGAAGTGCCCACAATGGAGGAATGGTTGCTGGCGATGGCAGAACTAGCAGAGATGGCAAAATTAGTTTGCTTGTTTGATTAGAGAAAGATCAACGGCTACATTTATCAGTGACTAGAAATCCTTTATGGATGTTTTGCTGAAAAAAAGGAAACAAACTTGTAATTTATGAGTTTGAAAAGTAGAAAGGGTAGCTCATGGAAAGAAAGAAATTACGGTGTAACTTTAACAAGAAAAGGTAAAATATAAATGCATTTATAAGCGCTGTCAAAAAGATTGGAAGCTGCTGCTTTATAATAATTTTCTTTTTTTATTCATAATTCTTTCTTCCTTTGCTTCTTTTCTAATATTTGTATTTTTAAAAAATCTTGTTAAAATATCAATGAAAGTTATATTTTAAAAACTGGTGCATTTTCTTTTAATGTCCTGTGACATTTTCAGATTACGCACTTATCTATTTTGAGACGTGTGGTTCAGTTTCTGCTGTTCTCCCATTTTCCTACTATAACATGAGCAGAAGGTGCTCCTTAGGAAATCACAATCCATTAATACTGTAGTCACGTCTTTCTGATAATTAAGAACTGGGATGTCACTAAGAATTTCTCCAGGAGTCTTCCTGGAGCACCATTTGAGATCTGGTTATTTTTCACTGGAGGCTTTTAGGAAGAGATTGTCCTGAATGACAGAGGATTTTCTCATCTCCGAGTAGCGATTGAAAACTTCTAACTCTATTATTCTGTTGTTGTTTTTTCGGATTCTCTGCATTTCGTTTCATTCATTTTCCGTGGAACATGGGTAGAAATCATGATACTGCTGAAATTAAGATATGTATCTCTCAGCTTTGGTAATGGTTAGACTTAGAGCAATATTTCTTTGGAGTTCTTGTTTATAAAAGTCTCTTTTATAAATCCAATATAGTAAAGTTATCTAAAATCACCCTTTTGGTTTGTTATTTGTATTCCTCTGTTTATTATTGAGACATCAGCCAGTTTCATTTTTATGTCCAGTGTAGCATCTTTTTGCATATTGTTCTTCTAACTTGTCATGTTAAAATCTACTTTCTAATCAAGTCTCAATCTTGTCTGGCAAACTTGTTCCTCTGCCCTAACTTCTTTTAAACATAGTCCATCTATAGAGGCAGATTTTATTTTATTCTTAAAATAAACTTCTAGGTCCATTATTCAAAAATATCCTTCAATATGTCCAATGTTAAAGTATTTTCCTCCAGTCTGAATTGAGCATTTAGTTCCTTCTGATTCCCTCTAGTGTTCAACCCTCAAGGTTTCAACTATAAAATTTTATTTAAAGGGAATTCAAAATAAAAGGATTTTCCCATATGAAGAGTTCTTAATATTCATTCAAAAATCTTCTTTCAAATCCATCTGGACCTTTAGTCCATTTGTAACTTTCCAGAATCAACGTTCTAATCACCCCTTTGCTGTTTATTCCAAAAGGAAAAATAATAAGTCCTTAAATTTGTACTTTAAAATTTATTTTGCTAAGAATTGAAGGAAACTCACCCAGTGCTGTTAAACCTGTCGATCCAAAGAATCCTAATAGCTGAAAAGGGTGAATAAACATTAGGGTTTGTTTATTACACATTATTTAAGTTTTAAAAAAACATTTTTGAAAACAATTAGAAAAGGAAATAGGTTAACACAATTTTTAAAAACCCTCATCTCCCAGAGCTCTAAACCCACAGGAAACTTCTGTCTTGTGGATTCCTTTGAGAAGCAACTGTCTGGAGGACTGGTAGGAGGTCTCAAATCTTCTTGTCTGGAGAGGAACTGTAAATAGCTTTTCTACTCACCAGTTCCCTGCAGGCACCCCTGGGTTTCTGTATACACAGGAAGAAGATTCCGCCACTCAAATAGCATGTTCTAGGTTGTCTAGGTCTGTAATTTCAAGTCTGGTGGCATAAGGTATTCTACAACGAGTAGAGGAGTGGATAACTCTTCTTGTGAAATATTTCTGGACTTTCTCAACTGTATTAATATCAGATACGTAATGTGGGTTCCAGACTGATGAGCTGTATTCGAGTATTGGTCTAGCAAATGTTTTGTAGGCTCTAGTTAGTAGTGTGATATTACCAGAGAAAAAGCTATGCAGGATTAGGTTAACAACTCGTAATGCCTTTTTGGCTATGTAGTTACAGTGGCCTCTAGCACTTAGGTCATTAGAGATGAGTATTCCAAGGTCCTTGACAGAGTTTGGATCATCAACAAGGTCTTGACTGTTCAGCTTGTATTTTATTTTCTGATTTTTTTGCCAATATGTAAGACAGAGCATTTATTTGTTGAGATTTGAAGTTGCCATTTGTTTGACCATTCTGATACCATAGTCATGTATCAGAATACATGTTAGAATTTCCAGGTTTAGTAAACAGGATAGGAATTTGCAAAATTTTTAGTAAGTAATTAATGAGTAAGTAAGTAACTTGCCCACTGATTAAAACATGTAAGTCCAGTTCAGCTTTTTAGCTTTTAGCAGCTCAGCTCAATCTGCAGAAAAAAAGCTTAAAGAGGACTGTGGTTGATTTTCTTTCTTTTTTTTCCCCAACTGCTAAAAGTTTTTCTATTTTCTAAATACCATTCACCAAAATAATTTTAAAAGATGCAATTCTAGAGTTGGCAGGCGAACAGTTGGCAGTGATGTTTGTCTATATTGCTTTTCCCCCCAAATGAACACAAGGTTTCTTTAAAAAAAATCAGATTTCAGATTATTTAGCAAGCTCAGAACTAAGAGCGTGGGGAAATCGTTTCCATTATTCATACCTGTTTCTCTCAGTAGAAGAAGCCTCCTGGAACTGCATACAAGCAATAGAAACAATATTAAATCAAAATATAATAAAATATTACTTAAAAACAAGCTAACATCTTGCATCCTCCCTGCAAGGCAATTGGTGTTAACGGTCTTGCAGGCAGCAGGGAGAATAAATTGCAAATGAAACCAGTTTGGGGTGGTGTCTTCCTTCCCTTCTCTTTTTTGATATATTCCTACAGGGCAATTGAAATTAATGGCTTGTGTGAGGATGCCCAGCTCAACAGGCTTCTCAGGTTTTTTTATCTGCTTTTCTCCCAAATATTAGTTCAAGGAAGTTTCTGGAATATTTGGATGTTGTTGCATACAGATTTCATCCAGAACAAGTGCTACTTAAATGTCTGATTAAACCACACTGGGTGTGCTTCCAGAGCATGCAAAGTCCCCAAGCAAATCACATTTTGGTTTTATTATGATGTGTGAACCTGCACTGAGCTTTTGCTTGTCTGAATCACAAACTAACCAATTTTAGCCTAGAATGATGTGGAATCAGCTAGTTTGATTAGTCTATGGTTCAGTGTATTGCAATCAGCCATAAAAGAACCTTTGGACCAGAGCAGCTTGATTGCGGTTGACAGTTGTGGGAATCAGGAAAAACTAGGTGTGATACTCCTATAGGAGTCTGAATCTGAGGAGGAAGCCAAACAGCTGACAGGGAGTGGGAGTGTGGCTCCATTGGCTGTGGAGCAGGCTGGGGAAGGGCAAAGTCTGGCGGGACAGAGCAGGGGAGAGATAGAACAAGGGAGAGGGAGTTCAGATGAAAACCCAGGCCCACCTCCTCTTCAACCTAGGGCATGCAGGGAGGAACAGAGAAGAGAGCTGTGTGGTTTATGGGGGAGGAAAGGGCCCTGATTCCCTTCATTAGCCACAGCTGGGAAGACAGTTGATAAGAAATTCAGGCTGCGTGCAGAAGGCTGCTGGGAGCAAATGTGACTTTATCGTGTGTTGTCGTAGCTTATCTATGTTCCTGGCATCTTCCCAACCATGTGACTTTTGCCATGCTTTCAAGTCTGAAATTCTTGCTCCTGCCCTGCCAAACTAATTACTTCAGTTTAGCTTGTTTGGACTTTACGTTACAGTTTGTGTTGCTCATGTTTTGGACTTAATTTTCTGCAGTCAAAGGCTGTTCCTGGGAGAGATTTTCTCCAGCCAGAAGGTAACCTGGACATTGGGGGCAAAGTTGGAGATAATAAAGGGACTCTTATTGCTTATCTGACTGTGTTGCCTTTGTGCCATGCCCCGGGTCATCACACTTAAAACACGGTCCAGTTGTCCATGATCAAGAGACATTGAAACATGGACATAAAATTATAAGAAGTTCTTTAGAGGACACTGAATCGATAGTCAGTATAGGTATCAAAATTACAGCATCCTTTATGAATGGCTTTCCAAACTCTGCCTAAACTTATGCAAAGAAGGAGAAACCATTACTACTTTTCCTCAAGTTTCAGAAGGTCTCCCTGGCCACAAAGGCTAAAAGGTAGCAGAAGGGTTCATCTCAACTTTGGACCCTGGAATTCTCAAGGCTGTTGTTCTTTTTACCCCAAGTGAAGGTTCTCAGAGTATGGTTGACTTTGCCCAACACACATAACTAGAAACCTAGGAACTACATGCATACAACATGCAAAACTTGAGTAATCTTGTCTTTCTGGTGACTTTCAGGTGAACACCCAGCCTACTTGGTTAATCTGGAGCTCAGTGTATTGTCTGAATCAAGAAAGTAGATTCATTCGATAACTCAAGTAAAGGATGTGAATCTTCTAAGCCAGGAGTCCCCAACTTTGGCAACTTTAAGACTTGTGGACTTCAACTCACAGAATTCCTGAGCTAACATGACTGGAGGAGGAATTCTGGGAGTTGAAGTCCACAAGTCTTAAACTTGCCAAGTTTGGAGACCTCTGTTCTAAGCCAATGCAAGATACATTTTTTTCCCCTAAATTCTGAGCAGACTCTTACAATCAGCTTTTCCTCTTTCTACATCCTTGTTTGGCCAACCATCTCTCCCTGCCCCAAACAACTCCCACTCTTTTGAAATCCAAGCTGAAGCTCCACCCTGTTAGAGAGGAGGTGAGGCTCCTATTTGCCAGCTGCCTTAATTTAAAAGGGAAGGTGAGCTATGTGCTAGGAAAGGTTGGGAGGACGAAGAGTCACCATGGGGAGACTGATCTTTTTACTTCACTTATGTGCCTGGACTTTTGCTTTCGGTGAGTATTTGGTTGAGGAAGGGTGATTTTTCTTCTTCTTCTTCTTCTTATGAACAGTTTCTGTAGGCAAAGCATGTTTTGCTTTAATACTGATGCTTGTGGGTGGAGAATTCAGTGTGTTTGCTTTGCTGCTCTCTGCGTAGCTGGGTTCCTCTCCTTCAGTTGGGGAGGTGGGGTAGACAAGTTGCTACATCATTCTCCAAGATGTGAGAACTGCCATGGCTTTAATAATAGCCAAAAAAGGGAACTATTGAAACACAAGAGAATATTTGCAGTTTGAGGGTGGAAACCACAAGCTTTGCAGAAGTATTTAGAATATTACAAGAAATGGCAAAGTGGTCTCTAGAAACACCCTTTAAGAGGGTTGGAACTGTGTTCGTACAATCTGTTTGAACTGCAAACAAGCTAACCCTCATCTAGTTATGTTGTGTGAATCAGACTCTGTCCTGTCCCAGCTCTGACACACAAAAAAGACTACAGTTCTCGGCTTTACTTGATTTTGAGCAATGACAGCAGCAGCAGGCAGGGTGTGTAGGGTGATGTGCACACACAATCTCAAACTGTCCCAGATCACTTGGATGCTTAAAAGCAAGATCCCATTGGTGCACGCTCCAGAGATCACAGAGTTGGCACAGTTTGTCAGCCAATCCAGGTGTCAGCTTTGGAAGCCATATTGAGACCAGATGCTCCCATGGCGCCACATTTTGAACCTGGGAAAGTGGGAGGGGGGATTTCTTGGAGTGTATGTAGTTAGACGTAATAACTTTCTTTTTCTAATTCAAGGTCGTGTTATTTTGCACATAAGTGAGGGGAGGTCTCAAGTTGGGACGGAGGATGATTGGGGCATGTGATGTGACGAGGGGTGCAGGGGGTGGATTTGTAGTTTTTACTTATTGCAAGGAAGCCCGGAACTTTCAGATTCGGGATTCCCCAGTTATGCCAGTTACTATCCAAAATAAAAGGAACTTTTGAGAAGATGTCTGTCTCGGAGTTATTGGTTGGGAATGGAGATTTGCTAGAACGCTGACATCAGGTTCAAAAAGCACAGCATTTTCACAGGAAAGAGCTCAGGGCATAACAGACAGAGGTCCCAGTAAACAGAGTACTTATCTGAAATGGATGGCTTTCCTGTGATGGTCATAAAAGAGACCCTGCCAAGGGTAAGCAGTCACTGGTGGGAAACCCCTTGCTTGGCAAAGAGCCTGAAGATCTGTCCTTCACTCGGTCTCATGTATCTTATGGCTGGAAGGAGCTCCTGGATCAAACCCCTCATACTCTGCTTCCAGGTGGTCTATAGACTCTACTGCTCAATCAGGCCAAGGTGTCTCCCTACTCCTGAATGGGGCAGGCTGCTATTCCACAGGGTCCTCTGAAGTCACCTCCCCAGACACCTCAGAGGCAGAGCTGGGGGTAAATCAATTCAGGGTGTCCTGCAAACAAACCAACTTATCTTCTGTGGATGTGCAGTTTCACTCATTGAGGGGTGAGGGGAGGTGATGGAAAACTGCCGAGATGGGAAACGGTGTGCTGTAATCTTGGGTTATAAACACCGAGGTTAATGTCTAGATCAGTGTTCCTCATCCTTAGAAAGTTTTAAGGTGTGTGTGGACTTCAACTCCCAGAATTCTTCAGCCAGAAGATTGAAGTCCACACTTCTTAAAGTTCCTAAGATTGAGAAGTACTGATTTCGATAAATCCACTGATTAAGGCACAGGAAGCTAATGAAACAGGGGCACTTCTAACTGTGGCTTTCCTTCTTTGGACTCTGCCACTCCTCAAAACACCCTCCAAAGGCATTTTAAATGTTTCCTTGTGACTTCTTATGATAATTTTAAATTGGCCAGTTGTTTAATTTTGATTTTGCTGTTAGCAACTCAGAGAACTCTTCTTCAGGATTTGGGTGGCCCAGAACACATACATCAATAAATACATGATTATTCAGGTAGAGCCTTTACAGATCAGCTATATGCTTCTGCATAGGAACAAAAATGCCCCATATCTATGTGTAATTTGCAGCTTTGCGCTGATCCAACATGCATATTCCTGGCTTTGTGTACATGTAATAGATCAACTATGACATATACATATTGCACGAGATATGTATACTCAGATGTCACACTGTTCAAATGAAAGATGGAATGTTTGTGTAAATAAAATAAAACAATTAATTAAAAAAAACGTATACGGTACATCGTGCCTTACAATTCAAGTATAAATCTCAAGTTGTTTTAAAGAACCAGAAACTGTCATAGAGGAAGCTCTACATCTCATGACTCAATAGAGATCTTTCAAGATTTGACTGTTTCATTGTTAAAGATTCTTGAGTTATAGGGACAATGGGTAGTATTGCCAGCTTTTTTCCCCTTAAAGATTAAACTGCCTTGCAAAACAAGCTAAACTCCAAAAGATGTAATATCTCCTTGCAGCGAGAGAAAGAACTATATTTATTTTACGCCTCCCTGCTGCAATGCATAATACAGGGGGTTCCAACTGGGCAACTGCCTTGGTTAGCGACTACAGTTCCAGTACTGTTGAGAAAGTAACTTTGCAACCAATCTTCTCATTTATTGTCATCACAGGTTTGTAAAGCAAATGAGAGCTGAAGGAAGAGGCTAAGCACAGTCATGGTTTCACTTAGCAACTGCTTTGCTTCATCCAGTTGTTGACTCCAACTGTGGTCATTAAGTAAGGACTGCCATAGACCTGTGACTAAGACAACTAGGAAGCAAGCAGGATGCCCTGGGTTTTCAATGGTCTGAACCAGGGTCACAGCCGGGTCATGTGCCATATCAGGACTTTTTTCCCCTTCACTGAACCCCGACATGGGTGTGGCTAGCGTTGATGCATCCATCCCATGATCTGCGAGTTTGACAGCCCTGCTCTAAACTGACTGTGATCTAGTATAACGCATGAACCCAGAGTGTCAATGTGCATACTTCTTGACTAAGAGTAAGGAAAATCAAAAATATCCCTTAAAATAGGTATTTAACTTACATTCTTTATTCCAGCCCAACTAAGGATAATATCAGATTTAATTATCACAAATATCAGAAGCACCGTTCTTTGAGCCCGGGAACTAATTTTTTTCCAGTCTTTTGCTAAGTTTGGGTTCAGCTCAGGAATTTCCCTGAACTAGAAGAGTTTTTAGGTTCTTCTTTTATCATTTGATTTGTTACTTTGCTTTTAAAAAATAAAACATCTGCTTATTAAAAATGAAAGATGCCTAGCAAGAGAAATATATCCTATTTTCATTTAAAGAGAAGGACCAGGGGAGACATGATAGCAGTCTTCCAATATTTGAGGGGCTGCCACAGAGAGGAAGGGGTCAAGCTATTTTCCAAAGCACCCGAAGGCCAGACAAGGAATAATGGATGGAAACTGAACAAGGAGAGATTCAACCTGGAAATAAGGAGAAACTTTCTGACAGTGAGAACAATCAACCAATGGAACACCTTGCCCTCAGAAGTTGTGGGAGCACCATCACTTGAGACTTTCAAGAAGAGATTGGACTGCCATTTGTCAGAAATGGTGTAGGGTCTCCCGCTTGGGTTGGGGGGGTTGGACTAGACACTAGATGACCTACAAGGTCCCTTCCAACTCTGATTGTCTGTTACCTGTTATAATGAAGGACACTTTTGAAGATCCAGGTTGATCTGCCATCCTTGAGGAACAGTTTAACATTTTCATTTCTTTATCCCCGGCTTAAAGCTATGTATAGCTGACCATGCTGGCATACCAGTTTCTCCAGATAAATCAGCACATTCTCCCTGGTTTGGCTTTGCGTTTTAGGTCAAGTCACAACAAGGCATGACTGTAGCAGAAACTGGTGAGCAAAAAAGCAGAAGTGACTTCTGACTTCCTGCTGGCTTCCCCATTGACTTTGCTTATGGGAAGCTGGCAGGGACCACTGGAAATCACAATCATATGACTATAATGGCCACAGTTTTGTGAATTAAACTAGTCTGAATATTGTGGAAGTTTTGATTCCATAGGAGTAAGTTTTTTTAAATACATTCTTTAAGTTAGCAGGTGTTAGGTACCTTGATTCAAAAATTATTGTGGCATAATCCACCGTTTGGGCTAACTTTTGAGGTTACAAAAAGGCAAATGGACAAACAATGAGATTTTTAGTTGTGGCTTGTGTGTGTGCTTTAAAGCAGCCCCAATAGTCCTGCTGAGCAATCACCCAGATATCAATCAGTATTTCTCTCTTTGTTACATTAAGAAGATTCAAGCTATTTCCTTCCACTTGCCCCTCTTCAGATGTATTGACCAACAATGGCTAGATTAAGACAGGAGAGTTTCAATCAACTCGAGATTACCAAGTTGGGAAAGGAAGTTTTTTAAAATGTTAACCCAGAGTGTATGCATGTGTTTACATTAGACAGCAAATGCACCTACATAGGCTTCATTGATTAGATTCACATATTGCATTAAGCCAAGGGTCTTCAAACTTGGCAAGTTTTAAGACTTGTGGACTTCAACACCCAGAATTCCTGAGCTAACAAGACTGGAGGAGGAATTCTGGGAGTTGAAGTCCACAAGTCTTAAAACTTGCCAAGTTTGATGACACCTGCATTAAGCCATGGTTTGCCTTTCTGTGGCTAATTGAATAAATTCCAGTAGTTGAGTAGTTCACCAACATATTAGGATAAAATCAAAGAAATCAAAATTATAACTTATTGTATTGTGTGAATTCAGGAAATGGCTTTTCCTCTGTGTGGAATTAGTTTAAATGCCCATTAATTTTCCAGCTTGTTTGGCAAAAAAGCAGGCAAGCATATTGTTTTTTTTTGCCAGCCATGTGGTTTTTACCAGTATCTCTAGCTTACTAAGGTGATCTCACTTATGAACCTTTGGATACTATAATGATCAGTTGAACGTTCATATTTTGTGTGTGGCTATTAAACAAGTTTGAAGGAGCTAGGCAGCTGTAATGGCTTGTCAACCATAGTTTATGGCTTAATGCATTTGCAGAGCCAATTGCAAAACTGTATTTT